AGCAGTATGTTTCTTAAGTGTCTTCTCTTTCGTAGCAAATCAGGTTTTATCCACTGTCTTTTCTTAAGTTATTAACCTTCAAAAACATAAACTAACTGTTTGATTACTATTTAGGTGTGCACCAGTATCAGCATACTGATGAATACTGAAAATACTGATACTGACGAATACTGATGTCGAAAACAATTCTTTTAACAGTTATAATTATCGTTTTACACATTGGAGGAAGCACTTTTAACACTCGAATTTGGAACATGAAATGTAACAAATTTCATTTCTTAAAAATTATGTGCCAAAATCGAGTCTAATTTTTGGTCTAATTTTCGCTTTTCACTGTGAAGGAAGTGTTTTTCAAACTTGAGTCTGGAGAGAAAATGACTTTAAATTTAATTAACTAATTTTGATCGGGTAAGCTAAACTTTATACAATTTGCTCTTTAGAGTTAAAAACACAAAACAAAATTGTCTACTCTGCTTCTAGAAGCATCCAGAAACTCGGTTTTGGCACATAATTTTTAGGAAATGAAATTTGTTGCATTTCATGTTCCAAATTCGAGTGTTAAAAGTGCTTCCTTCAATGTGTAAAACGCTAATTATAACTGTTAAAAGAATTGTTTTCGACATCAGTATTCGTCATTAGTATCAGTATTTCAATAAAATACTGATACTGGTGCATACCTATTCGCATGTACTTACAATGCTGTTTGTCCTCCGACACTTGATATAACATCTGTCCACGATAAACTTGGCTCTTGTTTATAATGATGAACAAATTCAGATTGTGGACATATCTGTAATTGTAAATAACTATTATCAATATATGTTTGCCAATTATTTGTCCAATTTTGAGGTAATTCTCTGTATTTCATAATTGTTTGTTCAATTAATGTTTTAAGACCATCATCAGCTAATGAATCTGTTGATGATGTTATTTGTGATGTATATGTTGTTATTTCACATTCTTGTTGACATTGTTTACATAACTGTGATTGGGCTTTCAAATCATATGTAAAATTATTCATAGCTGAATATGCACACATCATTTGTGTTAGAGTAGGATAGATTGAACACATATTCACATGTATTAATTGATTATTAATTAATAATTTTTGAATAGTTAATATTAAACTTGATATACATTGACATTTCATATAAATATAAGTTTGTTTACACAATTCATAACAGACAGTTTGAGAATAAGAATATTCAACACCATTGTATGCATCATATAATGCTTTCATATCATCACCAATTATATTTGTACAACTTGTATATGGTGGTTCAAGATATGTTGATACAGATTTAGTCCATACTAAATTATGTGTATAACCGGGTGCAAAATAGAATGCTTTTGAATCAATTAATGGTATTTCATTATTATTATGTATAATAGCTGTTAAACCTTTTGATGTATACAAATTTGGATAATATAAA